TATCGTGGTTTTCGGTGACCAGGAGCAACTGAATTTTCATAATATTGTGCAAAATGTTATTTTTTCATGCCAATTAACGTAGTGATACTAATCTGGTATTTGCAAAACCGAGAACATCCATTATAAGATAGTGACTAACACTATAATTTGCAGTATAATATAATAAAAAACAGGTTTACTCTAAATTCAATTTGTTATATAATTATACATTTTGTTAATTATAGTATATTTTATTTGACTAGGGGGTTAGGAATATTAGAAATATTATATTTTATAAAGTAAATTTTACTACAAGGTTGCGAGTAGACAATAAATAATACTAATTGTAGTTAGATGTTAAGTTACTATATGTTAATAAAGACATACATGTAGTACAGACACCTCAAAGCTTCACTCTAAGGAGTCAACATCTCCAACATTTTTAATAAGTGAACATTATAGTTTATTTTTGCAAAGTATACCCTTTTATTAAAGTATATTTTACAAACAATAAATATTTTCATATAAGTTTATAATTATTGTATTATATTGTGTTCAAATTATTAATTATTATTTAAAAATGTTTTTAAAGATTTGCCAATATTTAGGTGTAATGGTAGTAATAGTATTAATTTTAGTGATAACTATAAGACTGACAGTATTTATGTGGCGGATGTGGTGTCGGCGGGGGTTTGAGTGGAGGGGTGGGCCCCTCACGTGGGCAGTGGTCACCGGCTGTACGGACGGCATAGGCCTCGAGTACGCGCGACAGTTGGCCTCAAAGGGCTATAACTTACTACTCATTAGTCGTAATCCAAACAAATTGGCTAAAGTTGGGCACGAGATTGAGTCGACATACCGGTGCCGATGCAGAGTATTGACCATTGACTTCTCGCTAACCGATATCTATGACGCAATTGAAAAGGAGTTCAAGAGATTGGAGGAAATGGATGAAGAAATACATGTTTTGGTGAATAATGTGTCGATTTGTTACCCAAAGGAAAGACCGGAATATTTCACAGAAATCCCGAATTTATCGCAATTTATTGAATCCATAATTAACGTCAATATCAACGCCTGTACGCGACTCACGGCACTGGTATTGCCCCGTATGGTAGCCAAAGGCCGGGGAGCTAT